CTAGTGCATTCCTTTCAATGTGTATTCCCCATTGTGTGCCTGTTTACTCTCTTGTAATCCCTTCGTCTCCTATGAATGTAGATACAAACATCAATTCTCTTCTTACTAATTATCCCAGCACCAGTGTGAGCATTCCAAAGGGCTATAAAAGTTGGGAAAAAGGGCTATAAGATTCACCCTTTTATCTGGCTTTCTAGTGCATCGAGTTCTGGAAACCTTCCCTGCCATTTGGGGTTGTATTCTTTTGGTGCTGTAAAAGTGAAGTAAAATTGTAAGCACAGTCATGGTCAAGTGATTTTTCACTTAGTGACCACTTCACTTAATGACCAAGTTGCTGGTCCCAATTGTGGTTGTTAAATGAGGACTACCTGTATTTGAAATGCTAGGATTTCAATATTGCTATTAATGGTAGCTAATTATCTAAATCTTAGACCATATAAAGTTGCCAAAATGTGAACCAAGCTCGATATAGTCAAAACTTGTGGCTTTCCAGAATTTCAGACATCAATTTTTCAAATGTTAATGCACATCATTCCTAACTATAAGCCATACTAGCTGTTGCTGATGAGAACTATATCTGGAGGCCTAGAGGTTTCCAAGTCCATTGCTGATTTAAATTATAATATGAATTATATTGTACTAATTTCTAATAGTACAGTAATGACTCCATGGTGTCAAGCTGGGCTCCTGGGGACTGCCTGGATATAACCATGTAGTTTTCTTTGGCAACAATATGGAAGTGGTTTCTTTTGATTTCTTCTCCCAGCCTTCATGGTTTCTCATCCAACTTCTAAGCAGGTGCAAGATCACATTTCAAGATCACCCAGCTGAGCTTCTTCAAATTTTGTTTTGTATTCTTTTATTATCAGAGTAATAACGGATAGACCTCAACTGAGAAACAACCAATCTTGTTTAGTCACATCAGATGTTGTTATGCTTAAATCTGCATTACCAGGAAGTCCTGCCTATAAAAACTGATCCACATAAAGAAAGTGTTTTCCATCTAAGAATTACAGTATTTCAGAAGCTTATACAGGTAGTCCTTGATTTAGAATGGCAATTAGGACCAGAATTTCCATCACTAAGCAATGTGGTCATAAAGTGAGACATCATGTGACCAAATCGCTTAGGAACCACAATCTCAGCACTCCCGGTTGCTGTTGTTAACTGAGAATCATGGGTCATTAACCAGAGAGAGCCCCAGGTAAGGAACATGGGGGTGCCACAAGGGGGTGGGGGAGGACTTGGGAGGCCTGGTACAGGCTGCATGTGAGTTGGGGAAGTGCTGTAGTGCAGTGCAAAGTCACAGCTGCCCCTGGAAGCATTAGCCACCCCAGCCCAGCAGCACTTACCAACTGCAGGGGTGCTGCAACTTCCCCCACCCACCTATCTCCCTGCGATCTACGTCTTTTTGCCTTGCACAGTGGCACTTGGCAGTGGCAGCAATGGTGCTGGAGCTGAAATAGAGGTCCAGGGCCTTCAGCAGTCTCAGCCAGCTGCCACCATCCCGAGGCCTCTACTTCAGCCCCAGCACCATCGCTGCCATTGAGAAATGCCGCCTCAAGCCCCACACTGCAGCCGGCCAGCCCAGCACCACTGCACAAAGTCCCAGTTGCCCCTGACACTCTGCACTCCACAGGCTCTGCTGCACCCAGCTGACCTTCATTGTTTTTTTCCCGCTACTGGCGAGATGCACCCAGCCTGATCCTACTGTATGTGAGGGAGCTGCTGGCTGTGCCAGACCTTCTTCCTGAGGCTGCTCACACTGTTCTCCAAGCCGCATGCCCCATTCCTTCTCCAAATCTTGTGCCCCCTTCTCACAATCCTTTGGAAACCTGGTCTTCTCCAGGTCTTGTAAGAATGGGCATGCTATTTGGAGAAGGAACAGAGTGTGCGATTTGGACAATGAGGTCTTCTGAAGCTCTGTGAGAACGGGGCTCCTGCCATTCCTCAAATAGTGCACTTGTTCTCACAAGACCTAGGGAAGATCAGAAGGTTTCCAAAGGATTGCAAAAATGGGGTGCGTGATTTGGAGAAGGAATGGCACAAGTGGCTTGGACAATGTCACAAGCAGCCTTGAGAAGAAGGCCTGGCATGGCCAGCAACTGCCTTGCATACAGAAGGGTCAGGCTGGGTGCACCTCATCAGTAGTGGAGGAAAATGGCAAAGGTCAGCTGGGTGCGGCAGAGCCTGTGGAACACAGGGCAGTGGGGGCAACTGGGGCTTTGCACAATGGTGCTGGGGTGGATGGCTGCAGTGTGGGGCTTGAGACAGCATTTCTCAGTGGGAGCAGTGGTGCTAGGGCTGAAGTAGAGGCCTGGGAGCAGTGGCAGCTGGCTGAGACTGTGGCAGTGGCAGCTGACTGAGACTGGCTGAGACCCTGGGCCTCTACCTCAGCCCCAGCTCTAGCACTGCCGCCACCGATCACCACACTGCAGAGCAGCCAAAAGGGCATATAGATTGGGGGGAAATAGGCAGGTGGGGCTAGTTGCAATAGCTGTAACTTTGGACACTGGTTGTAAGTCCATTTTTTCAGCACTGTGATAATTTCAAACAGTCGCTGAATGAATGGTCGTTAAGTCGAGGACCACCTGTACACAGACATAAATCATTTAAACTGATGCAACTTTCACATTTAGCCCAGCCTATCTAATCTTCTAACTAGAAGAAAATAAAGAAGGCAGACAGAAAGAGAAAAACCTTGGAACCAACACTAAGTGAAGCAGAAGCTGCTGAAAAGCATGTCAGCCAATAATAAATATTTAGCCACACAGGCACTGCAGAAGCGCTTTTAGCAGAAGTTCTGCAGGTAAGATTATCTGATTAGTTTGGACTTCAGCAGCACAGTGAAAACATTTCCTGGTCTCTTTACCTCTCATCAATGCAACAGAGGTTGCTTAAAATACATATTTTTAAAGAATATCTGTTTTTTATTTCTCCTAAGCAGTGTCTTAGCTTTCCCTTTGATTACCTTATTCAGGAAAGAAGTAACAGCTACACTATGAGCCAGGAAGTCTCATGTTCTATTTTCGTTTAAAATGGATACACCCAAGAAAGCCTTACATAAGACACTAATTCTTCAACTCAGTTCCCTCCTGAAAGATGGGGATAACACTAGTAGGCTGCTGGTATAATTAAGATAAAGCCCGTGAAACACTGAATGGTTGAAATGTGCTAAGCCTGATTCCTTGGACATAGATCAGTTGGAGGGGAAAGTGCATAATTATTTTGTTTTGCTCATAAGAGCACAGGAATAATCACAATGGATCGATAGCAGTCAGAGTTCCATTGAAATATTAAAAGAACTTGATTGCTGCCTAGATCCAAATTTCTCCAAATTCTACCACAGAATTAGTGCTTCAGCTGGATCAGAATATATTTTCACTGGAAGAACATGGAAGCAGGACCCCCTGACTCCTCCACCTCTTCCTCTTCTCCTCCAGAGCCCTACCTCTGTTCCCTAGCAAGAGCAGAGCATGCAGCTGTGCCAACTGCTCTTACATTGGATCTGTTTATGCTATTGCTGGGATAAAACCACCATTTTATTTTTGTACCCCATTTTTAGAGGCTGCCTCTAGCTGGGATTTCTCCCTCAAAAGCCACTGAAAATCATGACTGCTACAGGATACTAATGGAAAATAAAAGTGATGGTTGTTGGCCAAAAGGAGGCATCAGAATGGCAGGTTAGTAGTTGGCCCTTCCACAATGAACTTTGTTTCTTCCTGCTGAAAGGGAAAAGAGGAAAGCAGTTTTGCCCTTCTTTTGTCACTGAAGTCTCCCCTTTGAGAGAATCTGTCTCTGCCTATCAGTCAAATTGTACAAAGCCTTCTGTATCACTAAGCTCTATGAAGTGTGATTTGTTAGATGTGAAACATCGTCCCAGAAAAATGCCCCAAAATCTTCCTCTCTAAAGAAAAAGACTTACAAGACATTGGAGCTAGTAAATTCTCCCTCTCACACACACCCTGCCCCCACCCCCCAGGATACTTATGTGGGAGATTTGTGCATACAAACATATGAGAACATTTTGCTTATTTTATTTTGCAATGTGTTAATTATAGCTTACCTATAAATCGAATAATTCTCCGAAGTAATGGATTCAGGTAACAGCATTCTCCTGTCAAAATGGTTTTTTCTTGGATAATTAAACTTTCTCTGGTGGACTTGATGAAATACATAGATATCTCTCCAATAAAAATCTGCAAAAGGGAAGGTGAAGGGGGAATGCTGAGAATCACAAAGACAAATGTATTGATCACTGCTGAATTCTTCTTGGTGACTGGAATCTGCTCTCTGGAAAGGGATGTTAATTCACTCTACTCCTCCATTTCTTGACCTAACTTGGCTATGGGAGCAGAGCACTGATAGGGGACAACTGGTGGCAGCAGTACGGAGGTCATTACAACTGAATTTTCACTCAATTCTAGATGATCATCTCTGGATGAAGAGATTAATCAACTACTGTATTTACTGGCGTATAACACGCACAGGCGTATAACACACACCTTAATTTTAAGAAGGAAGTTTGAGTAAAAAAAACTTTAAATTTAAAATAAATGACTTGGAAGCAAAATAGAGGGAGCTCTGAACTTTTTGTTTATTAATGTTTATACCACTTATAGGTTCATTCTACGTAATACGAAAGGAAAAGCACCTCTTTGAACGAAGAGAGCCGGCTCTCCCCATCGCTCACGTGAGCATCTGAGCGCCGCAGAGCAGGAGGTGAACAGTGGGCGAGTGAGCTCAGGTGCTCGCACTGCTCTGCAGAGCTGCTCCGGTTACAGCCCTGGCTCAGATGAAGGCTCCACTCTCCCAGCCCTGCCGCTTGAGTATCGGCGTATAACACACAGCTAGGATTTCAGCCCCAAATTTTAAGGAAAAAAGTGCATGTTATACACCGATAAATATGGTACCTAACAGTTACTACAATTCACTGGTTTACATTAGAAGTAACAGACTGAGTCTTTAATTCTCCAAAGGTTATTAAATGTCTAAAAGCAGAAATTTAAAAATAAGTAAGTAAAGAAATGCAACCAAAACAAATGTGAGTTCTCCAAACCCCACTTGCTGAAGTAAGGGGAGGTATATGCCTGATGATTCTCCACTCACAGCAACTAAATCTATCTTATATTTTACTAATCACCTCCAGTTGGGAGTAACACAACTTGATTCTTTAAAAGATTTTTTGTTGTTGTTGTTAATACAATCAGTATATCAACAGAGCCCAAGAACAAAGTGGTAGGGGGAAAATGAATGCTATAATTTTCAATTTTTTTCATAATTAATCCACTAGACTATTTCCTTTTTTAATTTGTGTGGTGCTGGATCTCAGTTGGATTCCAGGAAGAACTACAGAATAGGATTGGCAGGATAGGGAACACAGAGCATCTGTACGAGGAGTAAAAATGACAATAAATAAGCCTTGTGAAACTTATAGAGGCTATCAAATTTATTATGGAATAAACATACATTGTGGACAAGAAATTAAGGTACTTTCTTTTGAAGACTTTGTATTTCTGTTTTTATTGCTACTTGTCCCTCTTGGCTACATTTCTATCAGTAGGGCTTTTTGTATCAATGCCTCTCTTTGTCTTCCCAGGTTTCTCTCTCTCTCTCTCTCTTTTTAAAAAAGCTCTGTCCCCTCCTCCCCTAATGTTTCCCATTCTTTTCAGGATCTTTACCATTATTATTATCCATCTGAGTGCACATCAGTGGAGTAATGGTGCAGACACAGAGCAGGACTTGGTTTTTCATAATGATCACTGATTTTTTTCCATCTGGGAAGGGACATTCCACAACTAGAGTACCCTCAAGGCAGACACAGAAATACACTTTTCCTATTTGTGCTGCCTGCAGTTGGAGGCCTCAGAAAGATACCACCCAGCTGACTTTTGTGTGATTTCCAGACGTAGTGATGCTGCTGGGTGGTCTGTTGCTAAAGTTCCCAACAGATGCGCAAGAGGAAGTCTCAAAGAAACCGACCACCAAATAAACATATATAGGAATGATTACGTTTCACTAGATTCTGACTTTAATGAATTGTCCATTTCTCTACCTTGTCTGTGCCTTATCGTCTCTTCTAGTAACCTCTCCCCCTTCTAATCAGATGTACCATCAATTCCTAACTGTTGCTCTCTCAGAATCTATAGGCTACTATTTATTTAGACTGATACCTTGTCTTTCATTCATGAGATTCACGTGGTATACACATCTCTCTCTCTCTGCCAATTTTTCCCTACAACAACCTGCTAGAGAGAACTAGCAAAGTCACCCAGTGAGGTTCCATGGCCAAGGGTAGACTAGTCCCACTTCCTAGTCCAACATTTTAACCACTAAACCACATTAGCTTTCATAATGATATACAAAGTATTAGCTGGCAAGCAGGACATATCCCTCACCTGATCCTTTCTTCATCCCTTGAATCTCTGCAGCTCAACCAGTTTGGCCACATATTATTTTCAAGAAGCACAACTACTGCTGGTATTGATGGAAATATAATAATCTACCAGTTAGATCGTAGCAGTGGCATTAAGAATTTCTATTTATAAGTAAGGTTATCCAGGAGAGCTAGTGTGGTGTAACCATAAGGCGTAGTACTGGCATCAGGGAGACCCAGATTCTAATTCACCCCCAGCCTCAGAAACGCACTGGGTAACTCTAGGCCAGTCAGTCTCTCACAGCTCAACCTACCACAAAGTGGGGAACAGGAGGAAGGAGTGCTGTGTGCACTGCCTTGAGCTTCTGTGGGTGGGATATATATCTAACAAACCAACAAACAAACCTCCGTGATCTGCCCTTACTTTGGAACAGAAGAGAAACTGACATATCTCTTTCTGCTGCTAGTCTAGCAAAATGCCTGCCCAGGAAAAAAAAAATGGTATCTCCCTCTCTGCTATTAAAGTTTCTATCAACACTGGAGCCCTCCTTTTGTGATCTTGAGATCTGCAGACATGCATTCACAGACAAAGGCTTGGGTACACTCCAAGATACACATATCTACATGAATTGCCCCATGCATGTATATGGACAGAGCAGATCACTTTGTATAAGGAAACTTAAAAATGGTTCTAACTCCTCCAATGGAAGTTCAAGGAAGGTGTTGTGGGCATATGTAGTACAACAAATAACACACTGCCCTGAACTTTAAGGGATCAGGCACTGCTGTGTTAAAGTAAAGCAAATTCTGCCCTCTGTGGCTAGACAGAGGACTAACATGCCATTGGGTGGTGGCACCCTTGCCTTCCAGGTAGAACATCATGGCAAGGGAAGACTAACATGGCCCATCCCTCAGCCAGAGAAGTAAAAGGTGTGCATAACCTGCTTTGACTGTGCTTGCCATATTCAATAACAAGTTCCTACTATCAGTTGCCTGGACTACAGAGCAGTAGAGACACACACTTTGGCTTTCACCATCAACCGTGTGACTATCAGCTCCTGTTCTACCATTAACTTGGCTTCAACCACTGGACAGAAAATTAGCAGGTAAAGGAAGCATGTTTCTATTGGACCAAAGAACTACAAATAAATATTCCAAGTGAGGGGGTGAATGAATTAACATGCAATGCATTAATTACCTTCCATATGTGGTGATCTAAGCTACTCTGAAGAAATGTGGACTGCAAATAACAAATCCCTGAAATGGGGATTTTGATCATTTTGTATCTACTGTACAGTGATTCCATACTACTGTACATGGAAATTCCTTCATTGTTACACTTTAGGTGCATGAGGTGTAGCTTGGCAAAGGAGGATTCAGCTGAATAATTCCATGCACTGCATTTATGCACAAAAATGTTAAGAGAATTGAACCTCCCACTGTTATTTCCCCAAGCACAGACTAGTCATATCCCCTGGGGCTGTGTGTTTAGCATTAGTGTCAAGGGAACCTACATATATCTCAATACATTTACATAGGATGGGGAACCTTAATTAGCTAGGGTTTTACTGCATGTGGAAGAATTCTAGAGATGTACAATAATATGCATTTACTCTTTTTCTGTAGCTGTTAGGGCCTGCCCAACATGAACTGGCATAGAGGGAGTATGGCTGGTCATCCCTGTTAAACATACAATGGGTGAATGCGGATGGCAGATGAACACCGCTCAAATATCTTTCCATATTTTTTCCTTTAAAAAGGCCTCTCTTTCTAGCAGCATGTACACTTGTGTCTGTAAATGCATCTTTAAAAACTCACAATACCTTTTCCCCTCTAGCCTTCAATCCCTTTTGCAATACATTCAACAGATATACCCATCTGAGCCATTCCGTTTAACCTTTTAAAAAGTGCAGCCTGAATATTTGACCTGTAGATTAGTTCAGTACTTTTTAAAAATTTTATTTTGAATCATTTCTTTGAAAAAAAGAGACGCCATTAAAAAACTTTTCTGGAAACGTGGGTGGCATAAAGTATGTTTGTGACACTGCTACTATTAGCCATTCATACTGTGCACAGCTGTGTACATCCTGTAAGGATGCTGTTTTAAGACTTGTGAATTTGAGTAAGAAGCTAAAAAATATGCACCCTGACTCTACCCTATATGGGCATAGTTCATCCAGTTGGATGTGCTTAATATAGGTTGTTCATTATCCTTCAGTGGAATCTCATTTGCAATGAACTTAAGAAATTGAAAACAGGTGTAAACATATTCTGGTGGGAAGGAAAAACAAGCCAGGTTGCACAAAAGAAAACTAGACAAACAAGTCTCAGAAGCTCATTTGAAGCAGCATTTTAAATTAAACTGGTGGCTGAATCTATTTGCTTTGTAGCACAAAGAAGTCAATGTCTACCATGAAAAGAAAGCAATCAGGACATGTTTGGCGTTTATCTCCTAATCAATGGCTTTCTTGGACTTATGGCAGTCTTATGCATTATTTTGCATGGGAATTATGCAGGAAAGGGTAGGGAAAACTGACATTGGATTTGCGAAGGGAACGTTTTTCTATCCCTTCACAAGCACTGCTCAGCTGAGATAAATTCCTCTTAGAGCAGTCGGTTTTAGCTTCAGCATGTGAAATCTCATACACCCTGCAAGATTCTCAATTTGCTTTTATTGAAAGCATGGTTTATTTAGTCAACTCCCAGAGAAGTCGTGGTGATAAATTCTAGCACCAATCATTTATATCGAAGTATTGTGTTTGATCCAAATGTGTCAAACTGCTTGTCCAGGGAGAAACATTTAGCCGTTGCACTTCATTTGAGAAATACGTAACGCGGTGTTTTGTCTTCCTGTGAAATCACATGCATTAATTAATTAATTAATTGATTAGAGGGATAATTAATACCCAAAAGGATTTTGATAATGTGCCAATGTCTGGCGAAAGCCTGTCCGTTAAAAAAAACAAAAGATGCCTTGAAGTTTGCTGGACTCCTGGTGACTATATTGACATTTACAGAGTTAGAGTTAGATAAAAATGATGGGGGTGGAAAGGGAAATCAAATTTCTTCTCTGGCAAGTCAGCAATCAACAATCAAATAGTCAAAGAATTTTTAAAATATATATACATATACATATATATATATATTTAATCTACTTACAATTGCTGTTGGGGTTGCAGCCAGTACACAGTAGAGGACAAGAGGGGAAATGAAGCTTTCATCCTCTGTTCCTGGATACGGTTTCATCAAATTGCTGTCTTGGCAGAAGAAGCCTTGAATATGCACCTGGAAAGTGTCTGTGCACTCAAAGTAGTAGGCGAGCAAGACCGTCCCAGCCATAATGACAAGCTGAAAATACAGCATGGTGACACCGAGACATTAGCAGCTGCTCAGCACTTACGCCTCTGACAAATGCCACCCTCCATTATCGCTGCCACTATTCCAACAGCAATGCCCACATCAGTGCGGGAATGTGCTCAGAGGAAGGTCTGCCCTCTGGAACAATTCTGACATAAATCTCAAGGTAACTCCCCCTTCTTCTCCCAGGGAAAGTTTTCAAACAAACTGGGACTACAGGGTGCCTCACAAAAGGACAGGAGGTACAGCCCTGACTTAGCCCAAAGGCATGTAGTTGTCACTGGCAGCGTGGATCAATGCTAATGGAATGGCGCAGACCTGAACAGGGCATACACCCTACCAGTGAAGAAAGCTGGTCTGAAATAAACACTCCCCACCCCCAAAGGCCAAGGAAAGCAACATATGATGGAAAAGAAGCCTTAGAAAAAATCAAGTGAGATTTACTCTGGAGGATGCATAGTAACGTAGCCAAGGAGTTTCACTAAGAAGGGATGCAAAACAGTGACATCGACAATCCGCTGCTGTTCTCTCTCCACCTACTTCCTATTTTTAGCTCTCTAGCTTCCATCAGAATACTCCACATTCCATATTTCAGTGTTTGTATTCTTTTTTGGGTGATGCATCCTACTGTTGTATTCAGTATTCCGTACCTTTATAATTCTGATTGAAACAGGCCTAAGAAGGACATTTGAGATATTCCAGCAAATTTGGTTTGGAAATAAGCCAAGCTATTCCCTACCCCCCCCCCCCGCAAAAATGGAACGTATTATGCCTTATTTCTGGATAATTTTTTTTTTGTTTGATTGTTTAATGTATTTGATTTTTGTCCTCCCTTTCCATCCAGGTAGGATGATAAAATTAACAATATAGTAAATAAATTAAAAGTGGCACAAATCATTAACATGCATACATAATTAGTGAAATAATCCTTAAAAGAGTTCAAAGTATCAGGTTGAAAGTGGTGAATTTAATCCCACTTGGAATCCCAGAATTTCCTTTCTCCCTATCCAATCTCTAGAAAGCTGCTGGCAGGCAATATTAGTAATGCAAGGCTCACTCAAAGTCAATCTGATTCAGAAAAAAAATTCAGGAATTAGTTCCACTGACAAATACTCCTTGCCTATGCGTGCAGGGATAAACGATACTGCAAAGAACAACTGCATCATCACACTCTGAAAACGTAAAAAGGAAGCTCAAGATTTTGGGTGCTCCGATGGAATTTCCATCCGTTCTCCCAATCCGTGAAAGAAGACCAGAAAGGGAAAAGAATGCTGAAAGTCAACAACTGTTGACTTGAGAGTTTTGTTTCTAGGACAGCAGTCCGAGCTGCTAAATCAGGCCTGCACAAATTATAAAAGGGAAAGGGTCACATTGATAAATTAAAAGTAACTGTGGGCTGCAAAGGAATACCTGGTGTGCTGATCAGCTGTTCGATGACTGTGGCAGTGCTGGAGCTGACAGCATCGACAGCATTTGATGGCTCCAGTAGTGGCAGTGCTGGAGCTGACGGCATTGGTGAGCCCTGGAGGCAGTGGAGGTGCTCAGCAGCTTGTCTTTTGGGGTGGCAGTGGCAAATGTATTGAATTTTTAAAAGTGGTAGCGGGCCGCACAAGGCTGCTTGGCGGGCCGCACATGGCCTGCGGACCATATGTTGCGCAGGCTGATCTAGATGATGGACTGCTGGCATGACATGTGTTGCAACTCACAAGGACAGATAAAAATGTGGTTAGCCAAAGTACAGTGAAGTCAGGAAAGCTTTAAACCAAATTCTGCAGGGAATGGAAAATTAAACTTTGATGTAAAGATTTTTGCAATGTAGAAAATGGGTATATTGCTGAAACGGGACTTCCTGAACTACCAAAAAGAAACGAAAGAATTCTGGCTCATAAAGTTCATGGGCTTCAGTGCCTATACTAATGCTCAGAATGGGGTGGGGGGGGTGGACAATGTGGTGTAGTAAATAAGGCACTGGGCTGACACTGGGAAGACCCAGATTCAAGGCCATCTGACCGTCAGTTAGGGAAACCCACTTTGGCTTTGGGTTTCATACCCTCTTTCAGCCCAACCTACGTTACAGGATTGTTACTGGGTGGGAAATCAGGGAATGAGTATGTATGCTGCCTTGAGCTCTTAGAGAAAAGGTGAAACATACATTTAATAAATAATCAACATGAAGTTAACCTCTTAGTATAGAAAACAAGGTTTAACAGGTGTAATGGAGATCTGGTGCCTTGACTGGAATATAGCAGTCAATATAGCAATGGAAGAAGGGAAGCAACAGGAAGGGAGGAGTTGCTCAGAAATCCAAATGAATGAACTTGGCAGTGCCATGGAGAGGCTCAGGGTTAACGTAATGAAGACACAAATGACAGAGTATACTGCTGATGTCTATTATTGTCTTCCCAACCGAAGAGAAGATATGGATAGCCTTCCAAAAGCAAAATGCAGATTTCTCAGAGGTGTGAAGCCATACTGATGGGAAATGTTACATCTGACATCTGTTTGGAGACAACTCTGCCAAGCATAATCATTCCAGGAAATTCCTAACTTGTTGTTGTTGTTGTTCAGTCGTTAAGTCGTGTCCGACTCTTCGTGACCCCATGAACCATATCGCGCCAGGCCTTCCTGTCCTTCAC